TCAGGCCTTCTTTCCTGCACCAACCTCGTAGAGGTAGCTTCCAAGGAGCTTGGTCTGCGAGTCAAAGCATCAATTTGTACGTTCAAAAACGATTAAATTACCGTGCTACCCACCCCCTGAATAAAATTCGAAGTATCCAGTTTCTCATTGGTCGAGCTGTGTCAAGCAAGTCAAGACGACTCTGTAACATGTTCGTATGAGGAAAAATAAGGACATACTGCGCGCCATCGTCCCCGCGCCCCATTGGAAGTAACAACACGTTCACACCAAGAGCCTCCGCAAAGGTGAGCGTTACGGGGATCGAGCCACCTTCGCGTGTGTAGTCCGGTGCTTGATTGTACACGGCCTCAAAGAAAAATACATAAGCTTAATGTCTCGACGTAAATGGACGACTGAACCAATACCTCTGTCGCACGATGGGCAGCCTCATAGCTCCAGTGCTTGTAGTTCTCGACCCAGGGCTTTCCGCCGTGCAGGTTTTCTACACTGATCGTGTTCTTGCTCCCTAGTTTGGCAAATTCGTCCTGTAGGTATTTGATGACAAGTGGGTCGACGTTTTCTGGGGTCTGCGGAGGAACGAGCCGGATGCTGAACTTGCCCGCGACCTTGGCTGGGATGACGGTCTTGGCACCCGCGCCATAGAACGCGCCTTCGATGCCGTGGAGGGAGAGGGAAGGCGAGCGCATGCGACCCATCAAGACGGCTGCCTTGTCATCCGAAAGCGTGGTCCTAGCCCCCGCAGAAACTTCGACGTCCTCGAGGGCGTAGTCAAGATTATGGTAGAGCTGCCTGTAGCCAATACAAGGGTTGACGACACAAGTAAATGAGTGAGGTATGGGACTTGCCGTTCCTCCTCGTCCGGGGGAGGTACCATCTCATCGACGCCGGGGATGAGAATGTTGCCTTTCGGATCGACGAGCTTGCTCATGAGGGCGACGAGGTCGGTCATGGGCTCATGAACCATACGGCCAAATACGCCCGAATGAAGATCCCTAGCCGGACCGGAAACGACGACCTTGTAATATGATATGCCACGGAGACCGTAGGTCAAGGCTGGTGTCCGCGTGTTAAGCCAGTAGTTGTCCGACTAAAAGCTCCAGATGAGGACAAAGTGGGGAACGCAAAAGTGGATGTGCACACGATGCAAACGGCGTCGACCCCGTCGAACCAGGAGTCTTTGCCTTTCTTGACCTCTGCGAGAATGAATTCGTCGAGGCCCTCAGAGCCTGATTCTTCCATTCCTTCGAAGCAGAAACGAATGTTTACGGGAAGGGGCTTTTTGAGCGTGTGATGTGCGTCGAGCACATTGACCCAGCCCAAGACGGGACCTTTGTCATCGGACGAGCCGCGACCGTACAAACGACCGGTTTTGTCGTCTCTGGTCAGTTGGAAAGGCGGGAAATCCCAGCCGTCAGAGAGTTGAGCCTACAAAACGATAAACGATAGATATGCGAAGCGGAGCATTAAGATCGCGGCAGGTGACGTGGTGACGCACGGGTTGGACGTCAAAGTGACCGTAAATTAGAATTGTCTTTTTAGACTTGTCGTCACCGATCCTTCCTAAGATAGCTGGGGGGAGCTTCAAGGATTGGCCCTCCATTGTGTGGGTACCGAGATCAACGAGTTTCGTCTCTACACCATACTGTTTCAATTGGGATTCAAGGAAAGAGGCCATGCGAAAGACGTCATGGCGATGGGCAGGATCGCCAGATACGCTGATACACTTAAATTAGAACGAGTCTGATGATTCGAATGACTCGAAACCTAGGGATCTCTACAGCTTGTGCAAGTCGTTGGATGAACCTGTCCTTGTTAATGTCAACAAAGTTGAGAAAATCCGATGGAGTTGCCATGATTCAAGTTATCTGGGTGATAGACAAAGTAGATCGTAATCAAGCCGCTCCGGACCATCAGTCATCAAGCAGCATGCTCGTATCTGATGGAACGCCGGTTCCCCTCCAACTCTAAACAAGTGTCCGGGGTAGATTACCAGGGAAATTGTCCTTATACACGGACTGCAGCTACTAGTCGTGATACACAACAATCTCACTCGGTTGACCTCCGAGGAACAAAAATCTCACCTCCACTGAAGCCATGCAAAGGCCCCAGCCGACCTTTGTTGTTATCCGTGTTACTTCCGACCAACGCGTGATACGGCTCGGTCCCGCAGGTACACAATCCCTGCGTCCTTCCAGAATGCGCGTACTCGTATGATCGTCCAGAACGTGCGCCACCATTCCGCAGTCCTCGCCTCGCCTAGAAAGTACAGGCGCTACCCACAAAGGTCCTTTTCTAGATCTTGCTCGTGCGTGTCCTCGTACCCGTCCTGACACAACAAGGGAATTGAGCACCGGCGGCAAGTTTCCAGTCCATGCCCAGAAAAGAGTCCGGAAAAGATACGCGCCTGATGGTCTCCTGGCCGAGGCAGTTGCTCAACTGCGCCTCGGAACGCAACACGGAATGTTCGGCAACTAGGACAGCGGCGAAACGCCGGGACGAGAATGACCCATGGAGAACACGCCATAATGATCTAAAGGAATTGGCGTTTAGGCGAAGGAACGTGGTGGCGAGACGGATCATTGTCAATAACGCGATGGGCGATAACGGGAACGTGCAGGCCTCCTTGCCCGGTTCCACTTTTAATTTCCAACCCCGGCGGCAACAGAAATGAAGGCGAACCGATCCTCGGAAAGATCCTGCATCCTCTATCGTGTAGTCGACTGTTATCAAAACTGCAGGGCATGCGGCTTGATGCAGGAGCAAGACTCAACTGAGTTGACAGTGGCGCCGATGTGTCGTGGTCGCCTTGCGTCACACGGGCGCTACTATGTTATTACGTGGCCTCAACGTTACTACAATACAACTGAAGTCCTTCGACTTATTTTTTGGTCTTGATAAGCCCTGTCATAATATCGAAACTGTTACCATCCGGCTGTAAATCGATGTAGTCGTCCTCAACACCGTGACCCGAAGTCCTACTCCATCCGGTTCGTTCAGGAAGTGTGCGCAGTAACCCGTAGTCATGAGTAATCCCGACGATACGAACCGGACGAGGCGGTTCGACAGTTGTCAGTGTCACCAATTGGTCGCTGTGCATGACTCGACCATCAGAGTTATAGCGCGTGGAGAAAGCGCGCTGCTCACGAATGCATCCACGCGTCCAGATAAGCGTCCTCGAAGGCCGCCCAACCACCCCTTCCCCGGACGAAGGTCGCCCATAGTTGCTCGAATTTAGTAAGGACCAGTGCCAGAAGCGTCTCTGCACCGAGTCGCTGACCCGGCGGAGATAATTGGGAGAGCGATGTCACAGGCACAGGGGTGGAAACGTTGATACCGAACCCTGTACCAATGGCCATCAGTCTCAGCGGAAGCGGCTACGACGTGGGGAGAGAGTGGGAGGCACGCACCAACGACGACGTCCATGTTCCCTCCCGAAAAACTTGTGTTGACGAGGATGCCGCCGACTTTTTTCTTCGTGTCACTTCCAGGCAGCTCAATGTAGACGTCATTAGGCCATTTGAGCTTGACACGAGCGCCATGATCATTGCCTAAAACTCGGCCGTCTCGGCATGCGTTGACGACGGCGAGACCAGCCAGGTATTGGACAAACACTAGGCGCGGTGCCGGGAATGCTCCGAGTGGTGCACGGACAAGGAGAGAGAACTGGAGGCAGCCTTCCGGCGAGAGCCAAGTGTTGGATCCGCGACCCCGCCCTGTGAGCTGGAACGTGGCCAGGGAGACGACCGGCGCAGGAAGAGACGTCAGGAAACGCGGATTCCTGTGGGATGGTGCTGAGAACGTTCCCGTAACGATATCACGTAATAATAGTAGCGGGCGCACCTCTCCAGCATCGTCTGTGTGCTCGTTACTGCTTCCCCATAAAACAGAACTTCCCCGAGACCCCAGCCGCCCGAACACGCTCGCTTGATCTCCTCGCACCTCCTCGAGTACGGCGAAGTATCTGCCCGCGTCAAATCTTGGTGTAAGCTCCTGGGGGGGTAAGACGTCCGGAGGAAGGATCAGAACGACCCGCGGCGCGTGTGTCGCCAACTCTGTGGACGCGCGCGCTTCCGCAACTAGGCGCGCGCTCCCCTCGAGGGTTGTTCGGCAAAAGTGATATGTGTCGACCGCATCCTTGAAAACCCCGGCGTCTGTGGATGATTCCGCGATGGAAAGTCCAAGCCTTTCGAGGACGGTCTCGACTATCTGTCTTTTCCCGTATTGATGGAGAAAAAATTGGGGTAGGGGATATTTTGGGACGGGAGGCAGGGCGCTCAAGGACTCGTTCGAGCTCTCCGCCGGTATGGTGAGTCCAAGTGATGCCAAGGCATATCGAAGCAGAGTAAGCGAACTGGGAGAATCGTCTGTCCCATTGAACGAGACACCCCAGAACCCCGCAAGCCCAGATCCTACAGGAATTTGGATTCCCGCAATGGCATCGGCAGGCCCCTCCCAGTGTCCATGGATGACGTCCGACGTAGTGTGCGTCAACTCGAATGACACGCCGGCTGGCCGAAGACCGGAAAGCAACGTGCCCGTCCGCAGGCGGATAGACGCCGGTGATGATCGCGCCGATACCCCGCACGGCGCCTCGGGAACTATGGCAGCCCTTGACCGGGCGTCCCAGAGATTAAAGTGATCTTGTGCGGGACGATGGGATAGAACGGATACACCGAGGCCGAACCCCAGCATACGTCCTCCAGTAGCGATATACTGTTGGATGGTTGTATGTGCCTGCGAGGGTAATGACAGAGACCCGAGAGCATCGGGAGGAGACGAAAGCACAAGAAGCGCGCAGGAATTCGACCAAGGCTGCGTGGCCAGGGTTGTGGGGGTAATAGATTGAACTGTATATAAAGGCGAGAGTACGGAACGCAGGACATTGGATAGCCCAGGTGATGCTGAGGACGCGTAGATAAGGACATTCATCGCGAGTGCGCTCTTATAAAGTCAAGCTGAGAGCGATGACAGCAACGAAGAAAAACATAACGAAAGCATTTTACCGTCGACGGGGGTCGAACCCGCAACCCCCACCTGCCTCCACTCGTAAAGAGGATCACGTGAGTAGGAAGGTGATGCGCTACCATTGCGCCACGACGGCATAATATTTGTTTTGTTTTGAAACGATCTTATAAAAGAACACGTCGAACAAACGAAATCTAGAGTGTCCTACAGCAACGAGATTTTACAATAACAACGACCAAATCTTAACGTCCTGCTAATTCAAACGTCCGCAACAATTAAATACACCTAGTTGTGGTCCTCAATCAGGCTCTTGCTCGACTCGAGATCAGCCTCCACCATCTCCTTGACCAGCGAATCAAAATCGACCTTACGCTTCCAGCCGAGTAACCTCTCGGCCTTGGCAGGCCTTCCCAGGAGTTGCCTGTGGGATAGATCACATCAAGACCTGCAGACAAAAGGGGTATAATACTTACTCGACTTCGGCCGGGCGGAAGTACATAGGATCGACTCGAACCAAGACCCTGTCGGTCTGAGAGTCCTTTCCAACTTCATCAACACCTTTTCCAGACCACCTATTTTGGACAACGACGATCAGCGAAAGCTCGTCATTCAGGGGCCGGCTCACTTTATTTCCACACCAACGACTCTAAACGCCTTTTCAACGAACTCACGCACGTAGTGCATCTCACCGGTTGCAAGGACGAAATCCTCGGGACCATCCTGCTGGAGCATGCGCCACATGCCCTCTACATAGTCGCGGGCTGCAGGGGTAAAGAGGGACAAAGTCAATTTGGGTGAAGACGTAGCAAGCCCATATTTAAAAAAAAATTAAAATCACCGTGGCCCCAGTCGCGTTGGGCATCGAGATTGCCGAGGTAGAGGCACGCCTGCTTTCCGAGGCTGATATCTGCGACGGCACGAGTGATTTTGCGCGTCACGAACGTGCGCCCACGGCGCGGGCTCTCGTGGTTGAAGAGGATACCGTTGCATGCATACACATTGTAGGCCTCGCGATAGTTCTTCGTAATCCAGAAGGCGTACAGTTTTGCGACGCCATAGGGGCTACGGGGGTAGAACGGCGTGTCCTCGTCCTGCGGGACTGATTGGACGAGACCGTAAAGCTCCGAAGTCGACGCTTGATAGAATCGCACGTGGTTCTGGAGGCCGCAGGTACGCACGGCGTCGAGTAGACGCAAAGTACCGAGAGCATCGACATCGCCGGTATATTCGGCCATGTCGAAGGAGACCTTGACGTGCGATTGTGCACCGAGGTTGTAGATCTCGGATGGCTGGACCTGCGCGATGATATACACGAGGTTGGTGCTATCAGACAAGTCGCCATGGTGTAGCTCAAACTTGTTCTTGCCTGTTCCCAGGGGCGGGATCAGTACGGATATAAGGATGTGACCGAACTGTGAGGCGCACGCTCGTGTTGATCGAAGAAGAGATGGTTGATGCGGGAAGTATTGAAGCTGGAAGAGCGGCGGATGATGCCATGCACCTCGTACCCTTTCTCCAGCAACAACTCTGTTCTAGGGCAACGAAGGGTCGATTGACGATTGAGGTCACACGAGCTACTCTTAGCACTCACAGATAAGATCCATCTTGGCCAGTGACGCCTGTGGAGGAGCGTCAGTCTGTTAGCAAGTCAAGTGGAGGATGACACACCTGAGATCAGGGCGACTTTGCGCTTGTGCCATTCTTCTGCGGATGGCAGGTTGCGCAAGGCAAAAGGGGTAGCTTTTGCGAGTGTAGCCATGGACAGATTCGCGTGGGTGAAGAAAAAGACGTCGGTGAAGATGCGGCGAGGGTTTTTAAGTGATTGTTGATAAAAGAAGCAGCCGCGGCTATCGACAATCTCCGCAGCAAGTGGATATTGTATTTGTACTCGAAAATAAAAGCATAGATCGTAGTATAGTACAGCACGTTTACAGAACCTCACGCCCCCTGTTCTCTTACGTCCACTCACCCCATTAGTGTTGCACGTCAGCCACGCTGCCTCCGTTCTTTCTTGCGTTAGTCCGCCCAATTCTGGCATCCTTGTCGTAATGTTCGACCAGCCATTGTACGGTATCACGCAGCGCAACATCAAATGGTGTGAATTCGAACTCGCTCCCAAGAAGCGACAAGAGCTTCTGGTTCGACGCAGGTTTCCGGAACTGTCCATCCGCTCGGGAGGGATCGAACTGGAAATGCTCACTCAGTTGGCGTTCAGGGTTCCAGAGAGCGCGAGAAGGGGCATACCCTGTAATCGCCCTCGAAACCAACGGCCGCGACAATGGCGTCTGTCACTTGCTTGATGCTGACCTCCTCATCCTCCCCAACTACCAAAGTTCGTTTTCAGTGTCGTCTATGTCGTGCTGATCGCACCCAGTACGAACCTGAAAGAATGACGGGATCAACGTCGTCGTACTCGCGCAATTGCCAGATGAATAATTTGGCGAGGTCGAAGGAGTAAATAAACTGCCGGAGAGGCCTGCCAGTACCGAACACAACGAAAGGCGTGTTATCACCTATCAAGTGTCGTGAGTGTCATGTGGCCGCTCAGTCGCATCCCAAACGCACGTTTGGCCTGCAAACATTTATGAATTAAAGCTGGTATAACATGCGAATCTTCCAGGTCACTTAAGCGGGTGAGTCGTTTAAACATGCATGCTATCAAGGAGACAGATGCCTCACAAGTTATCGTTGGGTCCAAACACATTTGTTGGAATCGCCGACGTAAAATTGCATCCGTGTTCGTCGTGGTAGGCACTGCCGTTCGAACTCAGATGCGTGCGCTGGACAAGTTACAGGAAACATACCGGTTAGCGATATCGATCATCCTCTTTGCATATGCATATCCGTAATTGCTCTCGTGGGGTGGCCCGAGATGAATCTTGGACTCGTCGAGAGGGTACGTGACGTTATCTGGGAAGACGCATGTCGACAGACACGAAATCACTTTGGACACCCCGACTTCGTGCGCGCAACGGAGCACGTTATCATTAATCAGCGTGTTGTCACGCAGAAAGGAGAGCTGTAGTCGCGAGCAAAAACTTAGTGTTTGGCTCTGGGGAGGACCCGGGCGCGCTCGCCTACCTTGTATCGCATATTGCGATATAGGCCACCGACTACAGTGAGTGTCAGGTGGGACGTCTAAACGACACAAAGCGACGCGCAGATACACGACGTACCGAGCGCTGCGAGGTGAATGACATATGTAGGTTTATACTTGTCGAAGATCATTCTTGCTTGCTCTGGGTCTCTGTGGTGTTTTAGTAAATTAGAAATGCAAAGGGTGTAAGAAGAGCCCTGCGGTGGGCCGCGTACCGCAGATCTGCATCCTTAGATCCAATAAACACCCAGGTCTCGCCCGCCCGTCTTCCAAATCTTGAGCCTAGCGGCTCAGAGTTGATGACATGCTGTATCGCGTAACCGACGAGACCAGTGCCGCCGGTGACGAGGATGACCGAGTGAGAGGTTTCGATTGCCATGGGAAGAAGTGTGGGAGTTGGTAGACGGGACATGGAAATGGCGGAATATTTAATAGCTCGATGATATTAGGGAAGGGAAAACGTGCCATATTTGGAGGAGGGACCGAAACACAGCGTTGACACTTGTGACCCGGAATTGTTCGTGATGGATGAGCTTGTTCCAGTGGCGGCGCCTGGCCATGCTAGCGCAAGGGTTGCTACTCGGTCGCCACAAATTGTCAGCTTAGATTATGCTTTCTTTGATGCCCGTCGTCGTCGTGGGTATTGTCAGTTGGGGGACCACATCTCCAATTAGCGTCTTCAGTCGCTGTGCTCTTCTCGATCACGAGTTTCAATGGCAGACACTCCCTTCCAGCGCCTAATTTTGACGCTCCTCCGGATCCTAGGTCGTGGCGTCGTGAACGCCAACCGCCAGTGCCGGGTGCCAACTGAAGCGCTGACCGGCTTGGCGACTTCGATGCATCAAATCGGTGGTGTGGAATATAATTCATTATTACCAACCAGCCCAGACAGCTGTAGCACTCGCCACATTTCGGATCCAGATATCGACGATCACCAGAGCACCGCGATTGTCGCTGTCAGCTTTCTGGACTTGGCCCCGCCACCACGATCAAGTGGCTAACCTTTTCTATACAAACGATCACAAAAATTTGCTGCAAGAGATAATAAAAAAAAAAAAAGGGTGCGTGGTCAGTGCGGGCACCTAGCGTTTACAAGGCGGAAATCAAGCCTTTAGCGGTCGTAGTGTAACTTACTCACTGGCACCCTCCGCGGCAATGGCAGTGAATGATCCCGTTGTAAGTGAGAAGTTCGTACTGCATCAGTATCAACAACACTTCGCTTCCCGAGACGCGCCTTCAAATCATTGTTTCGTTGTTCTTACCTTTTCTAGGACGCCCGGCGCCGCCGTGCGCTAGCCTCGCAACGGCACCACGGTGCGGGTTGCGCTCACTACACCTAGAACAGCTAACCCGTGCCACCACGCAAAAATTCAAGTTCGAAGCCGATGTCCCTCCCAACGCTCTTCTCGTTCCTTTTACACCCCACACCCCTTTTTGCTCGTTGACTTGTCACCCTGTAATCCCGTCACCACGTCACACTATGATGTATTCGGATCAGAGGCGCGTAAAGGACGTGCCTTAGATAAGAGAAGGCGATACGTACCGCTCTCTGCAATCATGATGACGTCGCAGGCAGTTGGAGAGTGTGCAATGTGCACAGAACGTAGCCTCCGGTTGCAAGGACCCCCCGGCTTCCTTTCTTTTGTTTTTAGATAGACATCCTTTTCTGCCTTGCAACCTAGGTGGCTCTCGGGCAGGGTGTATCTCCGCATAGTTTTGGTGATCCGCTACTGGCTCTCCCTCACATGATTGAGGCTCCCATTATCGTCGTCAAGTCTCCCCGACATCGGGCATCACATGCACGCTGTACGAAATACAGGTCATTGTCATTTGGGTCTCTTGACCCGAAGTACTGGCCAATACTTTCTTCCTGACGGCGCAGCCCTTATCTATGACATCGGGGTCTGCTTGCGCACCGCGACGGAATGGATCCGTCTCGGATCGTGATAGAAATATCTCTCAAATAGCACAGTAGCGATGTCATGGAGTAGCGCGCCTGTGTACATGTGTCGGCCTTGAACAGCTTTAAGCTCCTTGTT